GCAGAGGATAGTGTGCTTTCAGCCTGACACATCAAACCCTGATCACTAAAAGCATAATGGGGCCTTTTATATTTGATCTTTTATGTTATATATATATATTACAAATAAGGAACAAGAGCTGTATTTGGTTTGGTTTTAGGAAAAGTATTATCAACACTGTTTTCTTTCAGGTTATGTGTGAATAATTAGCCTCTGTTATAAATAGCCTTTTCTCAAAGGGTTGTCTGTTCCTAGGCTTAATGTGTACTTCGATCAGGTGACTTTGGTCATGATGTTCTGGTTCTTAACAAAGGAGGCTTTTTTTCCTAATTTAAATATTGAAATATCTTTAGAGCAGCCCTCAACATGTGATGAGTTGCCTTCAGCATCTAATTTGTGAAACTAAGCACAAGTGTGAGCCAACCACGCCTTTAAAACAAAAAAATACATTAAGTTATAGTGCCATAACAACTTCCTTTTTCCACAGCGTGAGTGTATTTCCATCCACGTCGGTCAGGCTGGAGTCCAGATTGGCAATGCCTGCTGGGAGCTTTACTGCCTGGAACATGGGATCCAGCCGGACGGACGGATGCCCAGTGATAAGACGTGTGGAGGAGGAGACGACTCCTTCAACACCTTCTTCAGTGAGACTGGAGCTGGAAAGCACGTCCCCAGAGCAGTTTTTGTGGACCTGGAGCCCACTGTCATCGGTAAATTCTCACTACAAACAAGCAACGATGCTGATTTGGTGTAGATTATTCCACCTCTTAGTCAAACCCTTAAATATATGCATATTCCCCTTTTATAGATGAGGTGCGCTCCGGGATCTACCGCCAGCTGTTCCACCCTGAGCAGCTGATCACTGGCAAGGAGGATGCTGCCAACAACTACGCCCGAGGACACTACACCATCGGCAAGGAGGTCATTGACCTGGTGATGGACAGGATCCGCAAACTGGTGGGTATATTTAGAACTTTAAAATATTAAATTGAATAAATCAGTTTTAATGCCAAGAAGGTTGTCACATAAAAGGAATGTAAGCGGATACTGCCCCATTGTTCTGACCACACCCATCTCCAAGCTCTGCCTTCATTTTAACCTATACCGCACATCTGGAATGGTTTTGATTAGTCATATGCTGCAAACACAATAGCTTTTTCTTGACTGCTTTTAAAGCAAGAAAGAGAAACCCTGGCTCTATACCAAGTTAATAACCAATGTTGTAGAATTTCCTGAGTATGTTGAACTCTTAATACAGTGCCCTCAGGCACATTTAGCCTGAAAAAGCTTTGCCAGGATTACGCACACTGACTCACCAGCTGAAAACAATACCAGTGTCTCTGACACACCTGGGAAAAAGCTGAACAGTGTTTCCAGACGTTCTTTATACTCTGAACTTCAGTACTTTTCATTCTCTTTGTTTCAGAGTCAGTCTAAAAGATGTGTAACGCATAAATGTGATCATTGTCTCTCCCTCTGTTTTCAGTCTGACCAGTGCACCGGTCTTCAGGGTTTCCTGGTGTTCCACAGCTTCGGAGGAGGCACCGGCTCTGGTTTCACCTCCCTGCTGATGGAGCGTCTGTCCGTCGACTACGGCAAGAAGTCCAAGCTGGAGTTCTCCGTCTACCCAGCTCCCCAGGTGTCCACTGCTGTGGTGGAGCCCTACAACGCCATCCTGACCACCCACACCACCCTGGAGCACTCTGACTGTGCCTTCATGGTTGATAATGAGGCCATTTATGATATCTGCCGTAGAAACCTCGATATTGAGCGTCCCTCTTACACCAACCTCAACAGGTTAATGAGTCAAATTGTGTCCTCCATCACTGCCTCCCTTCGCTTTGATGGTGCCCTCAATGTTGATCTGACAGAGTTCCAGACCAACTTGGTGCCCTATCCCCGTATCCACTTCCCTCTGGCCACCTATGCCCCTGTTATTTCTGCAGAGAAAGCTTACCATGAGCAGTTAACCGTGGCAGAAATCACTAATTCCTGTTTCGAGCCAGCCAATCAGTTGGTGAAATGTGACCCACGCCACGGTAAATACATGGCCTGCTGCCTTTTGTATCGTGGTGATGTCGTTCCCAAAGATGTGAACGCTGCCATTGCCACCATCAAAACCAAGCGCTCCATCCAGTTTGTGGACTGGTGCCCCACTGGTTTCAAGGTGGGCATCAACTACCAGCCGCCCACTGTAGTTCCTGGTGGAGACCTGGCCAAGGTCCAGAGGGCTGTGTGCATGCTGAGCAACACCACTGCTATTGCAGAGGCCTGGGCTCGGCTTGACCACAAGTTTGATCTGATGTACGCTAAGCGTGCCTTTGTGCACTGGTATGTGGGTGAGGGTATGGAGGAGGGAGAGTTCTCTGAGGCCAGAGAGGACATGGCCGCTCTGGAGAAAGATTACGAGGAGGTTGGAGCTGATAGTCAGGGGGATGAGGATGAGGAAGGAGAGGAGTATTAGAAAGGCAAACATTCCAATGTATTAATCTCTGTACCTTTTCATCAATGTTCAGAAAATAAAATCTGTTTGTTAACTGAATGTATTGTTTGCACTTTTTTTACACACTCACTGTACTCTCATAATCTAATAATCTGCCTAAAATACTTTAAACATTATATTCACTCAATGGTCAGGTCATTCTAAAAATGTTTTCATAATAAAGATCTTGCACATTTTAGTCACTTGGGGGTGGGGCGAGTGTTCGACAGGTTTTCCAACAGAACTAGCACTGTCAAAATACTCTAAATAACTTTTACTGCATAAGATTATTTCAATATATAATTTTCACCTTTAAATGTCCATCTGCTTTTTCCTAAATGTACCCAATAGTTAAAAATCAGAAATCAACCAAGGTAAGTATTTTAACTCAAGAGGACATACTTTAACAACATTACTTTTTTTGTAATTTCATAATTCTATTCAATATTTAGAGGAAAATATTGCACATTATTAATACAATGTAAAATGGACGAAATATGTGTTTATAGATTAATCCATATGGTGGCATTTGAACTTTAATAACAAACAATAATTGCACAAGTCTTTATAATTCAATATTATATAATGGGCGAATTTGAGGTTATTATTTTAACCTAAATTCGAAATGTTTGTATTTTTATAATATCCTGCAATCTTATTTCTTTTACTTACATAATATGCTGAGTCATTTGTTTATTTAAGTATGTGTTGGCTATTTACATTTACCTGTCGCTTACCATGGCTTTAGACAGAATTTATATAATTTAAAATTATCTCGAAGGTTCAATAAAGTCTTGACGACCACTTTTCTTTTATTACTTCTAATTATAGAGACATTTTATATTGACTTTTTACCAAGGTGACGTCCGATATACTCTCAAACCCACTGCTGACACCAGCAGAAAACAGTATGTTTTGGTCAACGGTACCAAATCCCCCTACCTTGTCAACCCTGTTGGGGTTCCACAAGGTTCCATTCTTGGACCATAACTGTTTTCTCTTTACATTAATGACTTGCCTAATGTATGTCCTGATTTGAATGTTCAAATGTATGCCGATGATGCGGTCATCTTTGTACAGGGGGAAAATACTGAAATAATCACATCCTGTCTCTCAAATGCTTTGGACAAGGTTCAACACTGGCTGAACAACATTTGCTTACAGTTAAATGCAAAAAAAACAGTGTGCATGATGTTCAGTAAACGACCAGTCAAAATTGAAGGATCCAATGTGTTTTTAAACGGAGCAGAATTAGAACTAGTCCCCCACTTCAAGTATCTTGGAGTCATACTGGACTCGAACTTGACTTTTAAGAAACATATTAAGAAAGTATCCAATACCGTTAAATTCAACTTGCAACATTTTAAACAAATCAGACCTTTCTTAACTGTCAATGCTGCAAAGTCATACCTCCACTGTATGATTCTATCCCACGTTGAATACTGTTTTACAAACTGGTCGTTTGCTTGTGCCACAAACCTGAAACCTATAGAACAGCTGTACAAGAGAGCTATCAAGGTGTTTGACAGAAAGCCAAATTCATACCACCACTGTACCATCCTTGAAAAACACAATTTCTTGAGTTTTGACAATTTAAAGTCTTTTAAAAGTATATGTTTTTTTTATAAATGTTTACATGGACTGGCCCCCCTTCCTTAGGGGAATTCATCCACAGAAAACACACTGGACGCTGCACTAGGTCAGAAACCAGAGGAGACTGTGAAGTCCACCGCAGACGGACCACTTTTGGACAAAATGTCCTCTCCATTAAAGGCAGCTCATTCTGGAATAGCCTCCCAACTGAGACACGGGATTGTCCCACTCTCAATAGTTTTAAAGGTCAATTTAAAGAATGGATGAGAAACAAACAGACCTGCAATCACCGCTAAATGCACTTTAACACAGGGGTATCTCCTCTTGCACTTTATATGTCGTAGCTGCTACATTGTACTGCCACGTGGTAAATACTTGTGTATGCTGCTCTTGCTCTTTTGCACTTTTTGCATATCATGTATTTAGTTTTTGCTATGTTTGTAAAATGTAATTTTCTTAAATGTTTTATGTGAGGGACTGCGGATGTAAATTAGTTCAAAGCTACATCTGGCACTGTTATGCTTGACACATTTGAATGTTTTAAGTGTTCATTACTGTGCATTGTCCCTGCCAAATAAACGATTAAATAAAAATAAATAAATAAGTATAAGAAAGAAACAAGAAAGTAAAATGTTAACGCTAAAGTTCAAATGTAACGCTGTGGTGTGTTGGGTATGGAACTTGTCCATTGCATTAGGATGAATTGTGTTTTCCTGAATATTATTTTCCATTCCTCCAGAGAGCATGACAGAACTCGTGTCAACATTATCCTCGAGCGTCATCGTTAATGTTATCTGTAACACCTGCGAAGAACATCAAGGTTTTCCTTTAACCAATAGGAAGGAAGCTCTTGTGACTTCGGCCAATCAGATCCATCTGCTCTCCCCTCCTTGTAATTTAACTTGTGTATAAAATGCCTCGTATTGCTAACCTGGTGTTAGCATCTCACGCAGCACTCCTTGAAGCGCAGCTGTGAGAGTTAATTCAGTCTCTTAATCCTGTTTTCCAGCCCTCGACACACAGCGACAGGAAACATGGTGAGTATGCAACATTTAAAAAGTGTTATGTTAAATTAAACCAGCCACATAGAGCACATGTCATGAATTATAATTTTAATCAATTTATATCGATGGCACAAGCTAATTGCAGAACTTTTAACATTAGCTAACAATGCCTCCAGTGAAAGGTCTGCTAACAAAGTTGTATGCAAACTTTTTAAATGTGACTTTTTATTTAGGGTTATTGTGTATTTTTTTTAAACAGAGAGAGGAGCTTTTTTAATTACATTTTTGGGCATTTAAAAAAAATCCTTCCCTGTCTTTGCAGTGTGCACAATGACCCAGTTTGAGTATATAAGTATTCTGGTCACACACCTGCTTAACTGCATATTTTAAAGGGCCTTGCTGCCACCCCTGAGTTTCCAAATAAATGTACGATCAGACACTTTAATCTGTATTGTTTAACAGATTATACTACTGGTTTAAAAACTGCATGTGTGTGGGAAAAATATGACCACAGCTCTGTCTTGTAGGTAGACTAAACATGATGTCCCTCTAAAGATATTTAATGTAATATAATCTCAACATGCGAAAATTGTTGCCTGTATTTCTTGTATACTTGCATCAATATCTCACATGCACTTGTTTTATTGCACTATTTCATATCTTTCTATGTCTTAAGTATACTGTGCATGAAGTACATTGTTGAAGGAGCCTGAGATGTAGGATTTGCATTGGCAACAAGCACACTGTTGTGCATATGACAATAAAGCCTTTAGACCGTGTTCTGCCTTAATCATATTTAATGCACAGACAATCTGTTATGTGTTTGTCTTGATAAACTGACTCCTTTTCATGGCTGTAAATACACGTGTCAACTGACTCGGTCATGATGTTGTTGTATCTGTTCTTCACAAAGGATCCTTTAATTTGAACCCACCCCCCCCCCTCCATGCCTTCGGACATTGTGCCCACTTTAACATGTGGTGATCTCAAGCATCTTATAAGACATGGAAACACTTATAGCTGTGTGACGATATTTATTGTACATTTTACACATTGCTGTTTTCCACAGCGTGAGTGCATCTCTATCCACATCGGTCAGGCTGGAGTCCAGATTGGCAATTCATGCTGGGAGCTTTACTGCCTGGAACATGGGATCCAGCCGGACGGACAGATGTCCAGTGACAAGACTCTTGGTGGCACAGACAATTCCTTCAACACCTTTTTCAGTGAGACTGGAGCTGGAAAGCACGTCCCCAGAGCAGTTTTTGTGGACCTGGAGCCCACTGTCATTGGTAAACTCAATACATTGAAATGTCATAGTTTCCTCTTTGTTTCAGAAAGGCAAACCCTGAAGGAATTTCTGATTTTAAATCTCTTTTAGATGAGGTTCGCTCCGGGACCTACCGCCAGCTGTTCCACCCTGAGCAGATGATCACTGGCAAGGAGGATGCTGCCAACAATTACGCCCGAGGACACTACACCATTGGCAAGGAGCTCATTGAAGTGGTGCTGGACAGGGTCCGCAAACTGGTGGGTATATTTAGAGCAAGGGTAGGTTCCTTCCTAATAAGGCTGGAAGCCTAGGACATTGTTTGATTCTCAATAATTGCTCAGAAAAGATAATGCACCCCTACCCATTTAGTAGGGGGTATAACAAACTTAAATGCTGTGTTAACAGATCGGAAAATCTCATTGTACACATTTTTGTTGGTTACAATTGCCCTTTTTAAAGGAACAAAAATACAAACTTGAGTTTCTTTTTTGTAAACAGTAGCCTACTATAACATGGTTTATAACTAAAGCATGTTAATGTACATGTTGGCAGGACTATAACTTGTTTGAATACGAGATTAAAATGACATTAGCTATCATTAGCTTGTTCAGTTCTTATGATGAGCAAATGTACTGTATGATAATAACCCTCTATTGTTATAGTAACATACTGCAGAATCCAGCACCATTTTGAACATTGGCTCAAAGTCCTGCTGTAATTAAATCTGGCTTTATTTAAACTAGTAGCTTTTATTTACACTGTTCTTTTATATGCTCCAACCTGTTGTGGTGGTTGTCTCTCTCTCCTTCTGTTTTCAGTCTGACCAGTGCACCGGTCTTCAGGGTTTCCTGGTGTTCCACAGCTTCGGAGGAGGCACCGGCTCTGGTTTCACCTCCCTGCTGATGGAGCGTCTGTCCGTCGACTACGGCAAGAAGTCCAAGCTGGAGTTCGCCGTCTACCCAGCTCCCCAGGTGTCCACTGCTGTGGTGGAGCCCTACAACGCCATCCTGACCACCCACACCACCCTGGAGCACTCTGACTGTGCCTTCATGGTTGACAATGAGGCCATCTATGATATCTGCCGTAGAAACCTCGATATCGAGCGTCCCTCTTACACCAACCTGAACAGGTTGATCAGTCAGATTGTATCCTCCATCACTGCCTCCCTTCGCTTTGATGGTGCCCTCAATGTTGATCTGACAGAGTTCCAGACCAACTTGGTGCCCTATCCCCGTATCCACTTCCCTCTGGCCACCTATGCCCCTGTTATTTCTGCAGAGAAAGCTTACCATGAGCAGTTAACCGTGTCAGAAATCACTAATTCCTGTTTCGAGCCAGCCAATCAGTTGGTGAAATGTGACCCACGCCACGGTAAATACATGGCCTGCTGCCTTTTGTATCGTGGTGATGTCGTTCCCAAAGATGTGAACGCTGCCATTGCCACCATCAAAACCAAGCCCTCCATCCAGTTTGTGGACTGGTGCCCCACTGGTTTCAAGGTGGGCATCAACTACCAGCCGCCCACTGTAGTTCCTGGTGGAGACCTGGCCAAGGTCCAGAGGGCTGTGTGCATGCTGAGCAACACCACTGCTATTGCAGAGGCCTGGGCTCGGCTTGACCACAAGTTTGATCTGATGTACGCTAAGCGTGCCTTTGTGCACTGGTATGTGGGTGAGGGTATGGAGGAGGGAGAGTTCTCTGAGGCCAGAGAGGACATGGCCGCTCTGGAGAAAGATTACGAGGAGGTTGGAGCTGATAGTCAGGGAGATAACGATGAGGAAGGAGAGGAGTATTAAATTATGTATGCTTTAATTAACCCAAAAAATAAAGATTGTTTATTGACAGTAATATTGTTTGCTCTCCTTTTTATCTCCACAGGGCGCATGTACTGTTGGGACATTATTTTTTAATAGAGCAGTTTCGATTGTTTTGTTTCTGTTGTTGGCACTTATGCTTAAAGCATTCTGTTATCTCTGGTAGTAATATCACATAATAGATTCAAATGCATTAAAGCCATATTTTTCAGTTCACCTCGTATTTGTTTCATTTGTTTAAGTTTGCTCTTTTACATATATGAATGAACACAACTGGGACAGCAATACATCTTGATGTAAAGTCATCTTTATGAAATTAGAACAGCTAATCTCAGTCTATTTCAATATAAAGGTTGAGCTTATCAACTGTTTTGTGTGTATATATATATATTAACTATAAATAAATGGTGTATTTTAGAATACATTTAATATAATGATGCTCAAATGTCAAACTATTTAGTCTTTTTCCTCTGTAGCATAAAGGAACTAGCCTGCAACTGCATTTTGTTTGGCAACCCTGTGTTGTGTCGACATATGAAGCCTAAATCCCAAAACGATATTTAATACTGGAATTGAGCAATATGTTCTTGCAGTCCCGGTTACCACACCTACTTTGGACCTAGTTTTGAACGTTTTTTCTCACACAACTACCACTAGGGGTCTCCAGGTAACTGGAAATCATGAATTGTGAAGAGCCTTTCACTTCAACACTGTTTTAAGGCCATTATCGCATCTTAAATTGCAAACCATTAAATAAGTATTTGAACACAAATCTCACCATTATGTTTCTCTGAATTAAACTGAGATCACTGGTAGCGTATATGAAATTAGGGGAATCTTGACATAAATATAAGTGTCTTTATTGGTCGACAGTACCTTGTTGGTGACCATGAATGCTTTATTCTGAATTTGATCGAAAAAACAAATGGTACAAAGCTATGCGACCATGATGCAGTTAAATGCATAGCACACAATTGGTACAACAAAAATGAAAAATAGATTTGCAGCATTTACCAGCATTTAAATGTTTGCAAGGCAGTAGACAACACTTTTAATATTTCACCATGGGAACATGGGAACATGTTTTCGAAAGACGCGTCCTAAAACTGTGAAAATATGAAAAACAATACAGACAAGTACTTTTCCCAAGTTTATTTACACTCCATAAACCATCCAATTGTTTTTTTGCAACTACAGTGACACATTTGGAATAGAAACACGTTACATTTCTAGTACAAAGGCAAGATTTTGGGCTTCTGCGTATTGGTAAGGAATGAAACTTTCAAGGGGTTTTTCTTATTGGACCTATTCCTCTCCCTCTTCCTCTCCCTCACCCTCAATGGAGTCGACTCCAACCTCCTCGTAATCTTTCTCCAGAGCGGCCATGTCCTCTCTGGCCTCAGAGAACTCCCCCTCCTCCATACCCTCACCCACATACCAGTGCACAAAGGCACGCTTAGCGTACATCAGATCAAACTTGTGGTCAAGCCGAGCCCAGGCCTCTGCAATAGCAGTGGTGTTGCTCAGCATGCACACAGCCCTCTGGACCTTGGCCAGGTCTCCACCAGGAACTACAGTGGGCGGCTGGTAGTTGATGCCCACCTTGAAACCAGTGGGGGCACCAGTCCACAAACTGGATGGAGCGCTTGGTTTTGATGGTGGCAATGGCAGCGTTCACATCTTTGGGAACGACATCACCACGATACAAAAGGCAGCAGGCCATGTATTTACCGTGGCGTGGGTCACATTTCACCAACTGATTGGCTGGCTCGAAACAGGAATTAGTGATTTCTGCCACGGTTAACTGCTCATGGTAAGCTTTCTCTGCAGAAATAACAGGGGCATAGGTGGCCAGAGGGAAGTGGATACGGGGATAGGGCACCAAATTGGTCTGGAACTCTGTCAGATCAACATTGAGGGCACCATCAAAGCGAAGGGAGGCAGTGATGGAGGACACAATCTGACTGATCAACCTGTTCAGGTTTGTGTAAGAGGGACGCTCAATATCAAGGTTTCTACGGCAGATATCATAAATGGCCTCGTTGTCTACCATGAAGGCACAGTCAGAGTGCTCCAGGGTGGTGTGGGTGGTCAGGATGGCGTTGTAGGGCTCCACCACAGCAGTGGACACCTGGGGAGCTGGGTAGATGGAGAACTCCAGTTTGGACTTCTTGCCGTAGTCGACGGACAGACGCTCCATCAGCAGGGAGGTGAAACCAGAGCCGGTGCCTCCTCCGAAGCTGTGGAAAACCAGGAAACCCTGAAGACCGGTGCACTGGTCAGACTGAAAACAAAGGGGGAGACAAACATCACCTTGGGAACAGTTATGCAATGTAATTTGAAATCAATATTAGGATTAAATCCCTTTGGTTATAAATATGCCCACCAGTTTGCGGATCCTGTCCAGCACCGTGTCAATGATCTCCTTGCCGATGGTGTAGTGTCCTCGGGCGTAGTTGTTGGCAGCATCCTCCTTGCCAGTGATCAGCTGCTCAGGGTGGAACAGCTGGCGGTAGATCCCAGTGCGCACCTCATCTGAAGAGACAAAAACAGCCATTGAGTCCTTTGTGGCTTACAATGTAGACTTTCAACTTGCTTAAATAAAATGTCAGCCACAGGTGATGACACTTACCGATGACAGTGGGCTCCAGGTCCACAAAAACTGCCCTGGGGACGTGCTTTCCAGCTCCAGTCTCACTGAAGAAGGTGTTGAAGGAGTCGTCTCCTCCTCCGAGAGTCTTGTCACTGGGCATCCGTCCGTCCGGCTGGATCCCATGTTCCAGGCAGTAAAGCTCCCAGCAGGCATTGCCAATCTGGACTCCAGCCTGACCGACGTGGATAGAGATGCATTCACGCTGGGGGGCAGAAAAAGAAGATTTGGATTACAGATCTTATTTAATCTCAAACCTTGCACTTAAAAATAGTTTTTTTTTAAGAGGAAATGTTCACAACTGCTTTAATTTTTTTATTAAAAGAGCCACACACATAAGTGATGTTGCTAGACTTCTTACAAGTGGGTCATTCAAACCAGGCAGCCAATAGAACGTTTTTTTGTCTGATAGCAAACTTCAAAATGGCAGCGCACCAGAGCCTGTTTCGATTCATTCTCCCCACTCTGCATGACAAGCATTTACTATTCCTGTGAAAGCATCTCTGTTTTGAGGTTCAGTCTACAATTTATTTTACAGGAGCAAATGCATTTTAAAATTGTCCCTGCTTCCACATGAAACAGGTTTATTGCATGCAGAATGATTGAAAGAGAGAGGATTATGTAGGTCAGACATGTTGCAGAGTGCTGTCCCTTTAAAAAAAAAGAAAAGAAAGGGCGCACTCATCCACTGGAAATGGAGGTCTCCCATTCATTTTCATATATTTTTACAGAAAAAATATTTAACAGAGATATTCTATATTTCATCCACATCATAATTTCACTGGGATGTATAATTTAACAAACAACATAAACACATATTTAGAGCAAGGTGCATTCAATTATATTTTTAATAAAAGCTTAAAAGGAAAAAAGGTCTTAAAATCAAGATTACAAACTAGTAATAGTATATTTACAAATCTAGTGAAGCTGAGGAATATATATTGGCTTGCACTGCAAAAAGGCTACATTTTCATCAAGCATTGAAAGACAGCTAATCATTTGCATAGCAGCAGCCATATTGACTATCGCACAATATACAGCCATCACCCACTACAGCAAAGGGGAAGAAAGGATGACGTCATATGAACATTTTACGATTAAAATCCTTTACTCTTCTTTACATGCACTCTCAACCATTAACATTGAAAATAAAATATATAGAAATGATGCTCACCATGATTGCTCGTCTTTATTATGCAATGTAATACGACAAGCCTGAAGAGTGTGTGTCCGAGTCTGAGAATGATCTGCTAATGGACCACTCACACTCTGCCTCTATCGGAGAGCAGGTGAAGTGCGCCAAATGAAAACTCCTCCTCTTTCTGCCGCAGTAACCATTTCACACCCAAAGCAAATAAGATGACATGAATCCCTATAATGGAGAATAAACCCCAGACAAATAATCAGTACATTTTCAAATGTCCCAAACTCATGTCACAGTTACAGAATCTTAGGTTGCTATCTGGATCTGAAATAGTTACTGCGGCAGAAAAAGGAGGGGTTTTCATTTGTTGGCGCAATTCACCTGTTCTCCTGCAGAGGCAGAGTATTTAGTTTGGTGCATCACCATATCAGCCTCAGATACTGCACCCCTCAGACGAATACACTCCTCCGGCTTGTCTCATTACATTGCATAATATTGACAAGCAATCATGGTAAGTATTTATATTTATTATTGATGTAATGTCTGTGAATAGAAGAGGGATAACGTATAGATTTCTCTGTCGCCATCTTCTGCTCCACTGTAGGTAATTAGGGTTGTGCATTGTATGGCTGCTTCGAGACAACAAAAAAGAATACACGCATAATATAAATGAATGCAAATGTATTTCTTTAGTGCATCCTACACTCAGCTTGACTAGCTTTGTACTCATTATTTTGCTTTTAAATTACAATTAAGCGTGTTTGTTAAATTATACATCCCTCCTTTAGAAATAAAAACAGATCTAAAATAATTGATTATTGTCAATTGTAAATGAATGGGAGGCTTTTATTCTCAGTGGATGATTTAAACACAGTGCAACATGACCTAAATCATCGCGTCTCTTTCTCTTTCTCTCGCGGTAATTTTAGACCTTTTATACAAGGTCCTATAGGTGGTTCCTAACCGGGGGTACGAGAACTCCTACGGGTACTTGAAGGGATTGCATGGGGTGCGTAAATAGATTAGGGATTGCTATATATTTACACACAAAGGAACATTTTAGAATCAATGTTCCTGCCCCTAGAACTATCAAAGCTTATGAAAGACAAGCACGTTCAAGTGTCTCATTAAAAGCTCTTAACAAAATATGTTGAAACTACTAGAAATAATATTTTTCACTGACGAGTGTACATGTTTCTATTAAGGGGGAGACATACAAGTGATTTTCATTGAAGGAGCAGTTGAATGAAATACGATTACAAATGGTTGAACACAAGATGAAATGTAGGCAAGGGTGTACGAGTTTGGAAACACTGGTACTGGGGGTCAGCAAGTGGCAAACATTGCAATGTGTTACTCTGAAATGAATTATAAACTGAAGCTCAAACAGATTTCATATTATACAACATTTTAATTTTAAAGGCTTTTTCATGCATGGTGTGGATAATTAATTGAAGCGGTTTCTGATGCACCGCCATTTTGCAGCTCATTTTGAAAGGCTAACTGACAACATCACAATGAAGTGTTAGGCATTTACAGTGTTCCAAAAATGAAAGCAGTTGTAAAGTTTCATTTTTTAAGGTATTACATTCTGTAATTCAAATCTTCTCTCTCTGCCCAACAGCGTGAGTGCATCTCTATCCACGTCGGTCAGGCTGGAGTCCAGATTGGCAATTCATGCTGGGAGCTTTACTGCCTGGAACATGGGATCCAGCCGGACGGACAGATGCCCAGTGACAAGACGTGTGGAGGAGGAGACGACTCCTTCAACACCTTCTTCAGTGAGACTGGAGCTGGAAAGCACGTCCCCAGAGCAGTTTTTGTGGACCTGGAGCCCACTGTCATCGGTAAACTCTCATTAAATATGATAAACTATCATAGTTGCTGCCATGTGTAGGTTTTTAACCAGTCAGTCAAACACTCCTATAATTGTTGCTTATTCTCCATAGATGAGGTTCGGTCCGGGATCTACCGCCAGCTGTTCCACCCTGAGCAGCTGATCACTGGCAAGGAGGATGCTGCCAACAACTACGCCCGAGGACACTACACCATCGGAAAGGAGATCATTGACACAGTGCTGGACAGGATCCGAAAGCTGGTGGGTAACTTGACGTATAGAGTGACACTTTCCTAAAACAAATTCAAAATATCAAAATGAATTGTTGAATTTGTATCTCATATTTGTCTCTCTCCATCTCCAGGCTGACCAGTGCACCGGTCTTCAGGGTTTCCTGGTGTTCCATAGCTTCGGAGGGGGCACCGGCTCTGGCTTCACCTCCCTGCTGATGGAGCGTCTGTCCGTCGACTACGGCAAGAAGTCCAAACTGGAGTTCTCCGTCTACCCAGCTCCCCAGGTGTCCACCGCTGTGGTGGAGCCCTACAACGCCATCCTCACCACCCACACCACCCTGGAGCACTCTGACTGTGCCTTCATGGTAGACAACGAGGCCATTTATGATATCTGCCGTAGGAACCTCGATATTGAGCGTCCCTCTTACACAAACCTGAACAGGTTGATCAGTCAGATTGTGTCCTCCATCACTGCCTCCCTTCGCTTTGATGGTGCTCTCAATGTTGATCTGACAGAGTTCCAGACCAACTTGGTGCCCTATCCCCGTATCCACTTCCCTCTGGCCACCTATGCCCCTGTTATTTCTGCAGAGAAAGCTTACCATGAGCAGTTAACCGTGGCAGAAATCACTAATTCCTGTTTCGAGCCAGCCAATCAGTTGGTGAAATGTGACCCACGCCACGGTAAATACATGGCCTGCTGCCTTTTGTATCGTGGTGATGTCGTTCCCAAAGATGTGAACGCTGCCATTGCCACCATCAAAACCAAGCGCTCCATCCAGTTTGTGGACTGGTGCCCCACTGGTTTCAAGGTGGGCATCAACTACCAGCCGCCCACTGTAGTTCCTGGTGGAGACCTGGCCAAGGTCCAGAGGGCTGTGTGCATGCTGAGCAACACCACTGCTATTGCAGAGGCCTGGGCTCGGCTTGACCACAAGTTTGATCTGATGTACGCTAAGCGTGCCTTTGTGCACTGGTATGTGGGTGAGGGTATGGAGGAGGGAGAGTTCTCTGAGGCCAGAGAGGACATGGCCGCTCTGGAGAAAGATTACGAGGAGGTTGGAGTCGACTCCATTGAGGGTGAGGGAGAGGAAGAGGGAGAGGAATATTAAGGGACAAAAAGGCATTAGTTAAACATGATACAATTAATTCTAAAAATGAATGTTTAACTCTCATTACAAGTTCGGCTGTTCAGAGTTAGCGATCCTGAAAAATCAGTTTGACTCTGTTCTTAATAAATTTCCTACAACATATTAAGTTGTCTGTGTTTTTTCTTTGTTTTCTTTTGGTTTTAAGGATAAAAAGAAAAACATTTACATTAGAGTTTTACCAATTTTATATGATCAGATAAGGGAATTCGTTTTGCAGAATACACACATCACACAATGTTTAATTTATACTTTGAAAACTGTTAGAACCTAGGTAAATATATACGATCATTTTATTTGTGCTGAATCTTCTATTTTTGTTACAACAGGGCCATATAGTAATTAGTGTCGTTTTGCAACATGGCACACTCCTGAGAACCCTATCCCTATCTAGATATGGGCTAATTTTAAGCTAACAAAAACCCAACAATTCTTAGTTTTAGTAGATTATTCATTATTGAAAACATGATAATTTAATCAGATTTAATCTCTGCCTATAAATCCCCCTTTATCCAACACCCTAATCCTTTATAACTAAACTAGTATGGTGTTTTTTATCGAATTTCAAATAGTTCAATAGCCCATTCATGTGTGCCCACTCCAACGTCAACAGTCCCTAATGACCTTGGCATGTAAGGTAATCATCAGATTCTCACATTTTACTTAAGGATTGCACCAAGCATTCCTGTTATTTTTGGTACCCTGTCCATTCCTAAAGCCAAAGCCATTGAGTAAACCTTAACTTCTATCTTCCTAGAGTTTGTCACCAGACTTCCTCCTTCAGTTGGGGAGTTTTCTACAAAGGTGCTTAATTCTTTCAATTACCGGGGTTAGTATCTGCTAAACAAATCTCTGAACTCACTTGTCACCAAGTGTTCTGCATCTCCCCTGAGACATTGCTTTGAACTCTAATCCCCAATTTAACCTCTTGGAATATTGCAGTGTTGTTGATCTGACTTCCACCCACAGTACAATAACCAAAAAATAAAGATGGCCGTGCAGTGCCTCTCATTCTGCAACCCTTTATTCTAACTGTTCTGGAATGAATACGACCACAACACCCTCCCAGCTCGGGTGCCAGAACTTCCCCCTGCCAATATTCCTGAGGATACCAACCCCCATTCTGCTGAGTAAAGGAGCGGAAAGCCAGGATCTGAACTTTAAAGATCACCTATCATGCAAAATCCACTTTTTCATGTCTTTTATACATAAACATGTGTCCCCTCTGTGTAAAGATATTCTGAAAGTTTCAGGAAAAAAGATTCTCTCAGAGGGGCGTGGGGAGTGGCTCCTTATTTTCAATCAGCACTTTTGAAACAGGGCTGAAACAGAGGGGTTTATGGGATACTTCAATGCACAATCTGTTTGATATTTCGAGCCAAACACTTCAGAGACATGTTTGTATATATCTGAGACCTATAATATATTGAGGAAAAACAGTATAATAGGGGACCTTTAAAGGCCTTCATCCATCCATCGTGTCGTGCCTGGTTACAGCAGCAATCCACTCACAACTGCACCTTTAACTGGTACTGTAGGGACGCCAAATGGAGTCGCAGCCCTTTGCTTCACTACACCCCTGGTCAAAAGGCCTGCTTTCGACCATAACAATTAAAAATATGACATTAATAAACGCTGTAAAAAAACAAACCTGAACGAGGCTGTCAACCTTAGCACATATTTTAAGCATACGTTTAATATTGCTTTTTTAGAAAATCTAACATCTGAGGATGAGTAATATGATGCCATACAAAGCATGATCCTGAAAACATGCTGGTGACATATTTTGAGAGTAAATGAAAGAATCATTATTTAGTTATTATTTAATTAAGGCCAAATTAAATGACAGATCAGACCTCTTTCCTTTTTTTGTCAGAGCTGTTTATGTATTGATTGCTGTGGGGGTGTTACAAGCATTTCACAAATATAAGAAAGCATGTTTCTCAAATACATTACTCACCCTGACCTGAAGTGTTAATTTAAGAGTATCTCTGAGTGGCTAATATATGTTCTGATAAAATGTTTTTGGAGTCTCTATCTGACACTTAGCTGCTGTTACTGTTGAAAGATCATTCATTGGGTTAAGGATATATTCAAGGGCTTGTTTCTTTACATATAGTAATGACAGACATAATACAAATATCATATCATAGATTTAACTACAAATCACAACACTTATTAAAGATTTATTTATATTAAACCAAAAAAAAAAAACACAGACCACTTCATATTTTTCAGGACATTTATTAGAGAACAGAACAAACACATTTTGCATCACTACCTCTGAAAAGAAAAACTCTGAGTTGTAAAAAAACTATTACTTTTTGAGATGCCTTCAATTATTAGCAATTGTTTCCTGACTAACTAGTGCATAACGTCCCTTTTAATACTCCTCTTCCTCACCCTCGAACAAGTAAACTCCAACCGAACAACCTGGTTTTATCCCCCCTGGCCTTTCCTATCACATCAAATTGACATCCACATTTCTTTTTGGAATGTACTTAAGGACGAATCAACATTATGATATTTAACTAGTTCCTTTTCGTTCTTTAAAATTCTTCTCCCTCTTCCTCTCCATCACCCTCAATGGAGTCGACTCCAACCTCCTCGTAATCTTTCTCCAGAGCGGCCATGTCCTCTCTGGCCTCAGAGAACTCTCCCTCCTCCATACCCTCACCCACATACCAGTGCACAAAGGCACGCTTAGCGTACATCAGATCAAACTTGTGGTCAAGCCGAGCCCAGGCCTCTGCAATAGCAGTGGTGTTGCTCAGCATGCACACAGCCCTCTGGACCTTGGCCAGGTCTCCACCAGGAACTACAGTGGGCGGCTGGTAGTTGATGCCCACCTTGAAACCAGTGGGGCACCAGTCAACAAACTGGATGGAGCGTTTGGTTTTGATGGTGGCAATGGCAGCGTTCACATCTTTGGGAACGACATCACCACGATACAAAAGGCAGCAGGCCATGTATTTACCGTGGCGTGGGTCACATTTCACCAACTGATTGGCTGGCTCGAAACAGGAATTAGTGATTTCTGCCACGGTTAACTGCTCATGGTAAGCTTTCTCTGCAGAAATAACAGGGGCATAGGTGGCCAGAGGGAAGTGGATACGGGGATAGGGCACCAAGTTGGTCTGGAACTCTGTCAGATCAACATTGAGGGCACCATCAAAGCGAAGGGAGGCAGTGATGGAGGACACAATCTGACTGATCAACCTGTTGAGGTTGGTGTAAGAGGGACGCTCAATATCAAGGTTTCTACGGCAGATATCATAAATAGCCTCGTTATCAACCATGAAGGCACAGTCAGAGTGCTCCAGGGTGGTGTGGGTGGTCAGGATGGCGTTGTAGGGCTCCACCACAGCAGTGGACACCTGGGGAGCTGGGTAGATGGAAAACTCCAGCTTGGACTTCTTGCCGTAGTCGACGGACAGACGCTCCATCAGCAGGGAGGTGAAGCCAGAGCCGGTGCCACCGCCGAAGCTGTGGAACACCAGGAAACCCTGAAGACCGGTGCACTGGTCAGCCTGGAGATGGAGAGAGACAAATATGAGATACAAATTCAACAATTAATTTTGATATTTTAAATTTGTTTTAGGAATGTGTCACTCTATACGTCAAGTTACCCACCAGCTTTCGGATCCTGTCCAGCACCGTGTCAATGATCTCCTTTCCGATGGTGTAGTGTCCTCGGGCGTAGTTGTTGGCAGCATCTTCCTTGCCAGTGATCAGCTGCTCAGGGTGGAAGAGCTGGCGGTAGATCCCGGAGCGAACCTCATCTGAAGAGAACAATTTGTTTAGAAATGACTAAAGGGTTTGACTTGAAAGATACATATGGCATATATATTTAATGAGAGTTTACCGATGACAGTGGGCTCCAGGTCCACAAAAACTGCTCTGGGGACGTGCTTTCCAGCTCCAGTCTCACTGAAGAAGGTGTTGAAGGAGTCGTCTCCTCCTCCACACGTCTTATCACTGGGCATCTGTCCGTCCGGCTGGATCCCATGTTCCAGGCAGTAAAGCTCCCAGCATGAATTGCCAATCTGGACTCCAGCCTGACCAACGTGGATAGAGATGCACTCACGCTGTTGGGCAGAGAGAGAAGATTTGGATTACAGATCTTATTTAATAATTTTTTTTAAGAAGAAAGGTTCATAACTGCTTTCAGACAAAAAAAGGTTATTTGCCTGCATTGTTTTAGACATGGTATAATGGGAAACAAAGTGGGCTAACAGAAATAGTTTTACTATAGTTCAAAATAAATATCACAGCTATATTCTTGAGAATACAGTTGCTGGCATGATGAAGGTAATAGTTAAATAAGGCGAAATAAATCTAATAGATAGATAGATGATGGATAGATACTCTATTTATCCCAAAATAAAATAAATAAATATTTTTTGTTGCAGCAGCAGTGTCAAGCATTACACAAGAAATTTTTTTTTTAAAAGATACAATAAGATACAAGTACAATACAAAATAGCATTAGCTGCAAGCAAATACAAATTCACAATAGAAAAGACATCCCTACATTATCTGAATAATACACAATTTAACAAAATATTGAATAAGTTGAGTACAATATACAGTCTCACAAGCTACAGGAATATATATCAATACAATGTATATGACACATAATGGCATTTGGATTAAATAAACATTATAATTAAGTAGCTGTTGTACAAATTGTTCTGGGTTATGGAAAAGGGGACACTTTACATGCTATGGTGCAGTATAAGTAATATGCCAAGCAACAACCAATTAATGGCGGGAACAGTAACGTCCACTTAATACATTTTCGCTGTATGGACAGGCTTTCTCTGGGTGTGGGACATCTGAAGACTGCAGATCACTTACACTAGGCAATACCCTGTTACGAGTAGCCTAGTGCTGACAGGGGCTAGAACACAGCAGACTTCATTATTCATTCTGTCCACATAGCAGTCCGATGAAAACCTCTTTTGTTCAGTCGGCCCGTCACGTAACGTTAGCTGGCTGTACCCCCATGCAAAGCACCTCCCTTCACCAAACCTCATATTAAATAATACGCTAGAAATTACTTGTTTAAGAGAAAAATACTTTTTTCACACCTCGAGCCTTTTCCCACTTTTATAAACGTGTACGTTTCGTTGGTTTGATATCGGTTTGTAGGGAGAATTAAATATCAAACTCACGAAATGTACCACTGTCATTACTTCCCACTGGCATACCTTAATAAGCCTGGCATTTATTTTGAAAAGTTCTTACCATTTTGTTCTGTAGTCGCGGTGGAGGATTGAAGTTCCTGCACAGAAAATCTTACAATACGACAGTTATGGGGTCGTTGCAAGAGATAATGGCGCATGAGAGATGGACACAGCGGTTAAATACAAGTGCAAAGCCTGCGCCGGTGACCTCGGTGCTGCCATTGGTCAATGACCTGTCAGTCAGACGCTTTGATTCTATCCGTGGCTTTCTATTGGACGAGCGCCTGTCTCGCCACATAGCCCGCCTCCCAGACCACACCCGGCAAGCATGGCGCCGGTTACTGTGAGGAGGAAAATGCTGCTTCACTTTGTGCAAGGGAGTACCACAAATAGTCTGACATACAGCCCAGTGTTTGCTGGCACTTCCATATAATAAAAAAAGTTAATCCATGCAGAATCACATAGAAAACAACTTGTAAAATAATATACAAGATTAGATAGCCTACTTTAGAATTAGATTTATATTTATTTTTAATAGCACACTAAAGATTAGAATATAATCCAATGGAGTCTGCATTTTGAGAATACATCACACTTTTTACTAAAGTCACATTGATTTTTTTCTTTCCTCTTGTGCCTCATGCATAATACAAACACCTGCCAGTACAATAAGTCAGTCAGCTCATCAAACCCTTAAATGATGCCTCTTACCATCTGCTTATGTTTCAAATGTATGATTTCTTTCCACACTGCAAAGCTATACAAATCCCAAAAAATCCAGACAACCTTTGGTTTAAAACATGTTTGTTTCATGTGCACTAGTGTCCTCTCTAAGCTCATTTTCATACCCATTAATCATCATGCAGTCAATATTTCCACAAATATAAAAACATGGTGGGTGTGGGTTTCATTGAACAACAAGCGGTTTTTATTTTATTTCAAAATGTACTTTTGTTTTCGGTCTACTGTACACAAAAGAGGTCAAACTGTCCTGTCATGTAGGCCACATCCACAGGCGCCCATCCCCCATCTCTCCTCCCAAGATTCAACCGTTGCTAGGGAAATGAATAACGGGGTTGCCTGGATACAGCAGAATATCCCCATAGACGGCCTTTATCCGGCAGTCATGTGACCCAGCTTAAATGGCAGCATTAACAGTCTGCAGTGCAGCTGCCACAGTGGGGGATGTGAGGTGCCTCAGCCACTTATTTTCCCAAAAATCTTGCACCCTGATGTTGTGTATATGTAATGAAACAAATGTCCTCTCGTCTATCAGTGCATTGACCCCTTCTTCTCATTAAACTCATGGCAGAAATATAAACAAAATGGTGTTGAGGATTATAGGGTGTGGCCGGCATGACATCAATGTGGAGGAGCTCTTTTGTTCACACACATCAAGGTTGTTCATATAAAACCCCATTCTTCGTGAAATGTAACAGGATGTATGTAGCAGCTCTGTTTGTGTTAAACATTCAACCTTCAATTAGAAAGACCATAACAAATACCTAAATAAAAGAGAAGTACCAGACAGTAAAGCTGCTTGGTTGCCAACAACAAAAGGAGCTCTATGACAACAGTTGTCCCAGACCCAGACATGAAACCTCTTTAATGTGAGGTGGCCTAAAAAAGGCCACCTCACATTTATAGAGATTGCTGCAATAGGGTACCTGCAGAGACAATAATAATCAGATGGTCAAAGATATAAGATATTTTTCTGAAGGTATCACATTAACTACATGGCATCTACTCATTTTTTAAAGTCATTGCATTTTTGAGTATTCTTTGACATGATGCCCTTAAGTTGATGTCACTTCTGAGATGTTTAAGGCATTGAGTCAGCTGAGGAGATTTATGAAATAATTAAGTAACTGCAGCGTCTAATTACACATTTTTGGGCTTTTTCCTTATTATTCTGTAGTCAATATGATAGCACTAAGACTTCTTGAATGTTCTAATGACCTTAATGTATTTGATTGTGATGTATGTGTTCGTGCTGCTGTACCTATCTGGATTTTGGATTCAATGGATCCTGGTATTTTTCTGGTCAACTGAGGCACAGGGTGGGCATTTTTGGTACTGCATTAGAGTTGTTCTCATCATGCTAGTCAAATAGAACGTTTTGTCTCTCCTTTCACATCATTATCTTGTCTTCTTTGTCTTTTACCCGCTTACATAAAATGGGCCCCAGCATGTACAGTATGACACAGAAAAAGTCCTTTAAATGTACCTTATATTGAATGTGTATATGTGTCCAATGTGACTTAAATGTAGCCAACTGGCATATTTCTCCTCTTTTACTCAATTAATTATTGCCTGTCAAACTTCAATTCTTTATATGAGACTGTTTAAAATATGAATGTTGTTTCAATATATTATTTGTCAACTTAATACCAATTGATTGTGTTATTAATTCACCATGTTCTGCGTCCTTTCTTCTTTATTTTAATTTTGCACTTCATGTATTTTAACATTTATTTTGGTATGATATTTCATTTTCTCTCTCTGAATAACTTTGTTTTGATCAGTATAAATACATTTTAGTAAATATTATAATATGCCTTGTCTGTCACTAGAATGCTTTTGAATGACAGTGAGTTCAAATCTATATAAATCCTACACATTTTCACTGCTTATGATAAATAGTGTTTCTTTTTTTATTTGCAGAACAAAAACATGTATGAGGCCAAAGACCACGTGGACCACCAGAACAGATTGTCTTCTCAAGTAGTTCCCTGGCCTTACAACCTGACACCAGTCACACAAAGTGTCATTATCATTATATATAAAAAAAGCTCATTGTACCTAAAAAAACAAAAACGTTCCTCTTTTACTTGACTGCCTCTTTGTGTAACAGCACCTGCATGAAATATAGATTCTGCTTTGACGGATGAAACATTTGCTTTGTCACTTTGTTGGGTATCATATTCTCTCCTGAAGGATACAGTGCGGTCAGTTTCCTGCCATGAAGGGCCGACCACTCCCATCTCTCCAGCATTCCCATCAGATTCCCATCCTTCCTCTCTCCTCTTGTGCAGCTGCTCAGCCCCTCCCAGTCCCACAGCTGCTGGGAGGAGGAGGTGGAGGTGGAGAAGGAGGAGGAGGAGGAGGAGGAGGAAGAGGAGGAGGAGAATTTTCTCGAAGCACTGGCTGAGATCCAAGGCTGCATCCTGTCCTTTTCTCTCATCTTCTGCCGTTCATATGGAGTACAGCAGCCACAAAAAGCCGGTTGTAAATTATTCATCCTGACTTCCCTGCTGAATAAATTATGAAATGGTACACTGACATTAGGGCTGCTGCTCTGACAAACACAGAGAGTTCCTACTGCATTAGGAACCAGAAGGGTGCTGATTATATTATGTAAAGCTTCTTTACATTCCCTGGATTTAAGGCAGCTTAAAGGGCAACAGGGTCAATGTTGTTACTGCAGCAGCCATACTGTAAATAAGCAGCATATGTGAAGGGCTTCAGTGCTACCATTATGTCACTTAAACTGTAATTCAGGCATTTTCAGTTCTTCAAACAGGACAGAAGCAGAGCAGTCACGCCCAAACGTCTGAACAGCACATAGGCTGACTTGCAGCCACGTGATCGCCCCACTGAATGACATCATTGCAGAGAATCTGGGACAAAGAGGGAGGAGAGGAGAGGAGAGCTGGTCTGCCGGGTGGATCCAATGGCCTCAGCATCAACATGGACGCCGGCTGATACCTGTGTGATGGGAGCATCTTGTGTGGCAGAAGCATTCAGCCATCTTACATCATGAACAGCTCATCAGGTTCATACAAAATAATACAAATACAATATATGTAATAGAGAATGCGCACCAGGACATGACTAGCTTTGCATTGATTTACAGTTTGCCACACCTACATAATACATATGCAGTCCTTGCTGATTCACCTGCATACATAATAAATATGCTTTGTTCGAAGTGGCCCTTTATTGGATGAGATTGACCTATACCGTTATTTAACACTTGACTGATATTTCTTCATATATTTTGATTTCATTTGCATAAATAACTTATAAGAATACAGCATATTAGTTAGTGAAACTGTGCTCATACTCAACATGTCCCTTTTTTTTCTTCCTCAAATGACACTTGAGTGAGTTGGTTCCCTTACCCTCATCAAAGGTGGCCTCTTGTAAGCTATGCACACACTTCAGAGATCATTTAATGGTCATTTTAAAGCCTAATAGGATAATTTATGGTCGTAATCACATACAGAAATTCTATGCATACCCTGCCAACAATATATTTATAGCAGTGCCCTTTAGGAGTAGATATAACAATGCAAATCAGATCAGATTTATATGCAAAATACAGACATAAACATCATCACTAAAGGGTGGCAGTGAAATCCTATTTTTGTTCACGGTGCACAGATACCCTTTAATATATGCACACAAAATAACAACTGTAACAAGACCTTAGGCAAAACAAAACAAGTGCCACTATACAACTCTAGTACTGTAAAAATCAATGCACACCCTGCCAAGTATATAGTTATTTGAATTCCCCAATAGGAGTATATAACAATACAAATCTGTTCAATTTGTTATGGAAAATACAGACATGCTCAGTTTGAACATCGTCTCTAAAGGGTGGCAGTGAAATATTTTTGTGTCCACGGTGCACAGAAGCAGATACCCTGCCCTGCTGCCGGTATAAAGCCGGAAGCCCCGCCCTCCCATTCAGCAGTTGTTGCATCGACCCCGACGGGTACACCTCGCGACGCAAACCACACCGTGTTTAAAAACGCTTTTTCTTCACATTTCCTCCTTTTGTTCTCCCTCTCTCTGAACCTCAAAAAGAAAAAATGGTAAGTCTACTTTTCCTAATCTGAAATGAAGGTTTGAGCAGCACCCAGTGAGTGTTAACACGACGTCGTTAACGTGTCTCCATCTCTTCAGGAACGTCTCCAATGTCTCCATTGTGTCTCCAAAACTGACACGGTTTAAAAGCTATAGGTACAACATTGGCCAATTATGTATTTAGGGATTAAAAAGAGCAGTATCGAGTGGCGTATTACCGGTTTTGCAGCAGTGACACGGTGTGATTGTGGATAGAGGTGAACAATGCACCGACTGTCTCCATTCAGGCTTTATTACAGGCACTCAGGTGGATAAATCTGTCAGTGTGCGTCATTTTCCGTCCATATA